TGTGCATAGAGTCGGTAAGCTCCCGAGCGGAGCGTGCACAACAACCCGAAGGCAGGCGCGTGTTATTTGAATCTGCAGAGACCTTATCTTCTACCTTAAATGCAGGAGGATCTCAATCTGCTGCAATATTAACTACGTGTCCTCCTCAGAATATGCAACTATCATTACCTTCCCCTGAACCTACATCCCCAAGGGCGGCTTCATTGAATGCAGAAGTGACAATAGAGAAGCCACTAGACACCACTAGTCACTTGCAGTCTTTACGCTTTGGGCCAACAGCTTTAAGCCCAAGTTCTCATCCACATAAGGTTGGTGAAAATAATAACCAGAATGCAGGCCTCACTGTGGATTTTCTTCAAGATGGATCTTTATTATCAGAACAAATTCAAACCCAATTAAATTTGGGGAATGAACCAACTAAAGCAAAGAAACGAAGCCGAGCAGACGAAAATTGGGGAGCAGAATCTAAAAGGCCTAAACTACAGGATTTTGGGAGTTTCGAGCCTTTATGCTCCTCAGCCCAACTACAGGCAGCTCTTTCATGTGGCAGATCGGTATTTGACTCTAAACAGCAGCCTTTTTTCTTTACAAGTGTGGAGGAATCCATCACGGTGCAAAGAGTTCGTCGAAAGATACAACTTAAAGCCTTGCATCGTCAAGTTCGAGCTCATCCTGATTCTCGATTTGCACTAATACATTCCTTCCACCCCACTCAAAAGCAGTTTGATGAACCCCCCTTTGAACCAACCATTATGATTGAGGACTCCGCTCCAGATCTTTCTGCTACTTCTTCTCCATCAAATTCATCTGAACACACACAATACACGGAACATGATGAAGGGGCTTCGGTCGCTGGCCCTTGGCAGCCACCACTCTCACCATGAATATCATCACATGGAACTGCCAGGGCCTTGGGCAAGCCCTGACACAGAGGGTGCTTAAGGATTTAATTTTTAAACATAGCCCGTGTGTGGTGTTTTTGATGGAGACTAGACAATCTCGAAATTACATGGAGCGGTTACGGAGACAATTCCGATTCTCCAATTCTGTGTATGTGGATCCACAGGGCTATTCAGGGGGTTTGGCCCTGTGGTGGACTGAAGATGTAAATATCTCTCTTTTCTCTTCTGATAAGTTCTTCTTTGATGGTTGTTGCTCTACGGCTGATTATAATAGTTCTTGGCATTTTACATTTATTTATGGGGAACCTAATCTTCAACTTCGAAGATCAATGTGGACCCGAGTGATGGATATGCGCAGAAACAACTCAATCCCTTGGATGATAATGGGTGACCTCAATTTGGTGGGAGAAAGTGCTGATAAGCGTGGAAAACGGCCTCCTCCAGCACTCGATAGGACTATCCTTGATGAATTAATGCATACATGTTCTTTAAGGGAGATTGCATTCAAGGGACCAGTTTATACATGGACCAATCGGAGGCATGGCGAGGAAAATACTAGAGAGAGGCTTGATCGAGCCTTAATGAATGATTGTTGGCATCGCCTCTTTCCTAATGCTCAATTGTTCCACTGCACTCGAATGGGATCTGATCACAGTCCCTTGTTATTAGGCTTGCAAGCCATTCCTAAAATGCAGAAAAGGAGATTCCGATATGAATTGAAATGGCAAGTGCAAGATGGGTATTATGAAGTCATAACAAATGGATGGTCCACAGACAAGGTCGGTTCTCCTCTCTTTTATTTGGTGTCTAAGTTACACAACCTGAGACAAAGTTTGCAGACTTGGAGTAGAAATGTCCCAAAAAGACCACATCAGGAAATTGATCGACTGTAGCAAGAACTTGATGTTTTGCAATGTAATCAACTATCTATCACAACTACAGAGCAGGAGGAAGCTTTAATTCGAAAAACAAACACTCACTGGGCTCAGGAAGAAGCTCATTGGTTTCAGAGAGCTCGAGCAAATTGGATCAACTTTGGGGATAAGAATTCCAGATATTTCCATGCTGTCGCTTCTCGACGACGGCAAAACAATTATATTTTTCAGTTAAAAG